ACAAACCATTGCTACCGGTTGAACTGTTTTGGTCACGTTCAGCATAAGAACACCACAACGATGTTTTGCCATTTTCTTCTCATGAAGACTGCCATTTGTCCCGTTTACTTCGCATCTACGACAGGGCCTAGATGCCTAAATGCTTGAGGGCATGTCGATTACGCGGTACCATAGTTGTCTAGGCCAGCATAGATTTCTTTGACGTTTTGTTACCAGAATTTCCCAACAAATCTCTAAATCCTGTAAGCCAGTTGGCTTAATCACAGACAGAATACTTATTCCCCTCAAAGCCTCCAAGTAGTTCTGTTCTAGGGCCGATCGCAGTTGTTCGCATGACTCAGTGGTATTGTTCAAATGAAAGAAGGAATGTCTAGGTGTAACACACTACTCATAAGCCTACTGAAACCACTCCGACGGCCCGCGTCCGGTGCTACTCTTCCTGGGGCTTATCAAATAGTCACAGTCCCTAAGGTTCCGTCAAAATTATGTTCTACTTGGACCTTGGTTCAAAATTCACACTTAGTTTTTCTTGCTACAGTCCAATAGCTTTTGTCCCCATCAATAATGGTTCTCTAGACTAAAAAAAATGTTCTCTTGTAGCTTTTTTACTAGCAAATTCTTTTGTTTACTCAACTAGGAAGGGCATGATGGTGAGTTTCGTCTGTGAATTTCAAAGGGGTGGTAATCTGAAAATAATCGACTCTTCTGTGGGTGCATTTTAGTCACGCGTGTACACTTGTGTTCCATTTCTAAAAAGAACCTCAAAGTTGTTGTTGAATCGTCTGGTTCTCAATGCATCGGCGACAGAGAGTCCGGAGGCTGGCTAGACGTACACTAAGCAGACTTCCGGTTTCCTCTGTCGGACACGTTTTACATGAAACACCACGCCCATTGTAGTTGGTCAGGATGTAACCTACAGTCGGTTTCGCTCATATCAGTGATGGCGCCTCGCTGAGCACAGCGAGGCGGCTTTTCTTTTACGTAATTGGTGTGCGGCGTCCCGTCATACGTTTGAATTAAGTTGGGAACTTGTTAGAAGGAAACAGTTCACTTTACAGATCGTTCATACCCTGCCTCAAAAACTACATGTATCAGTAACCAATGCACCGGTACTGTGAACATGCTGTTTCCGACAGCACTTACTTTTCCGGTAGTCATTCCAGTCGAGATTATTGGTCTTTCTTGAGGGTGAATCTCCAAAAACATTTGTTCTCAGTACTACCTGATCTTTTCTCGTTTTACACCCCCCGTTCGCTCTGTGAATTTCCTACGTCCACTATTTCCCCACAATGAATACGTTTCCGTGTTCTTACACTCCAATGCATTCCAGATGTATATGTTTTTATTTCACAATTCTGCTGTTTCTGGATGGTTAGCGCCCGTAAACGTGTGAAATCTGACAGGACTTCTTCCGCAAGCTTCTCCCATAGATAACACATTTCAGGGATTTGAAAAATGCGAGAATGAGCCTTCAATGAGTTTGTAAGATGAAGTTATCTAAAACCCAGAACATCTTCATACCAACACTACCCTTCAGCTAGTGTTAAACGCATGGCAGCAAGACGCATCGAAGGATTGTGAGAAATGTTAAGAGAAATAGAACCAAGTTTGGTTTTCACGGGAGACTCAATTGAATCTCTCGTTGTGAGGTCCTCCAACTGAATGTGCTGCACACAGGCCGCCTCATGATTCAGTCAGCACGATATTCGAGATATCGCACTATATTTTCATAAAGGGAACTACTCATAAGGTTGATGAAAACTCTCCGACAGCCCATCATAAACGACATCATAAACAGACATCATAAACGAGAGATTCAATTGAGTCTCCGTGAAAATCAAATTGATTTGCAAATGAGTGTATTTCTAGAAAACAGTCCAATTTGGATTCAGGTAGATCATAAGGTTGACGGAAACTCGGGAACTGCGCCTACCTGATGAGCCTCAAGGAGAGCGAAACCGGTCGTGGGCTGTCGAAGAGTTTTCAGTAACCTTATGAGTAGTTTCCTTTATGAAAAAAGCAATAGAATCATTTTGGCCTTTAACAAATCTGCCTCTCAAGTATTGTGGTTTTTCAATAGAGGTTTCATTCAGTTAGTGAAGTCAATCTGTTTTGAAAATTTGACAAGTACCCTGCAGCTGTTTCAACCTGGTTGTGTGGTGAGCATCTCACGAAGCCTAGGGAAATTTCGAACCCATGACCTTTCAGCTAGTAATTGACCACCTAACCGTTTGACCACGAGTGGCTGATAACCAGCGTGATTAGCTCTCATTTAGCACCACTCATCCTTCAGTAGAGGAAACCGAATTATGTGGTTTCGTATTGAATGTGTGGCAACTTCTCAGAAGGAAGTTTCATACATTCAGTGGAATTCTTCTTCATTTGAGCTGCTTAAGAATGCATAATGGGATTTGATGATATTCAACAGGGGAATAATTCTGTCAGTGAAGCTAATCTACGCTGAAAAGCCGAGGAGAACTGTAGAGCTGTTTGATCTTTGTTGGAGCTCATTAATATTGCGCATCTCAAGAATTGCAGTTTCACTGTCCAGCTATCCACCACAAACTATCTGGATCATTCGGTAGCACGTGCTATTGCGCCAGAGTAACAGAGGTGCTGTGACAAAATCTACCTCAAATTACAGATGATAGAACGTCAATGAGAGAACGGTTGACTGGTGCTCGTAGAAGCATGGTATAACCAGGCGCTTTTTTCTACCAACAAACGTATCATCGCACTCTGCCTCATCTTTGGAAATATGCAAAACCGCTTAGCGAACTACGCGTTGCTGTCGGTGCTCAAACTTCCAAACATTTAATCTTTTCGATGAAGCACTTTTTTCAGAAAAACTTTCGCTCCTTTCGCAAAGTGGACGTCAAGTAGGTTAATGTGGTAATCTGTCCAAAAACCTTGTTGCGTATATTATCTATTCATTTATGGATATCAGTGGAAGCGGTCGTTGGAGAGTACACAAAATAATAAAACTGGAATTTACCCCGGTGTGACCATAACTTCAGTTGTCCTGAAAAATTTCGTCAAAGGAACTGGGGTTGGGAAATCCCCATTTGCGTTTATTGCCACATGTGTCGAATTAGTGAGTGAAAACCGCTCTAACAGCTTCACAGAATCACTTCACGTAAGGATCAGTTAAGTTCGAATGTAAACCGCATTGCCGGCAAGCTGGGTTTTGCTTAGTCAGAACCATGCGCCCAATCGGTTGGCCGATCATCATTTAGGAAAATGGACCAATCAAATTGGCTATGGGTCGCAATTTCTATTGGTCGGTCGCTGAGCTATTTTATCGCGCCTTAAACAGACCATTCAGTTGAATGAGCACGTGGATCTTCGCAAATGAACCTATTGATTTGCAAATGAGTGTATTTCTAGAAAACAGTCCAATTTGGACTTAAGTAGATTATAAGGTTGACGGAAACTCGGGAACTGCGCCTACCTGATGAGCCTCAAGGAGAGCGAAACCGGTCGTGGGCTGTCGAAGAGTTTTCAGTAACCTTATGAGTAGTTTCCTTTATGAAAAAAGCAATAGAATCATTTTGCCCTTTAACAAATCTGCCTCTCAAGTATTGTGGTTTTTCAATAGAGGTTTCATTCAGTTAGTGAAGTCAATCTGTTTTGAAATTTGACAAGGAGTAGTTTCCTTTATGAAAAAAGCAATAGAATCATTTTGGCCTTTAACAAATCTGCCTCTCAAGTATTGTGGTTTTTCAATAGAGGTTTCATTCAGTTAGTGAAGTCAATCTGTTTTGAAAATTTGACAAGTACCCTGCAGCTGTTTCAACCTGGTTGTGTGGTGAGCATCTCACGAAGCCTAGGGAAATTTCGAACCCATGACCTTTCAGCTAGTAATTGACCACCTAACCGTTTGGCCACGAGTGGCTGATAACCAGCGTGATTAGCTCTCATTTAGCACCACTCATCCTTCAGTAGAGGAAACCGAATTATGTGGTTTCGTATTGAATGTGTGGCAACTTCTCAGAAGGAAGTTTCATACATTCAGTGGAATTCTTCTTCATTTGAGCTGCTTAAGAATGCATAATGGGATTTGATGATATTCAACAGGGGAATAATTCTGTCAGTGAAGCTAATCTACGCTGAAAAGCCGAGGAGAACTGTAGAGCTGTTTGATCTTTGTTGGAGCTCATTAATATTGCGCATCTCAAGAATTGCAGTTTCACTGTCCAGCTATCCACCACAAACTATCTGGATCATTCGGTAGCACGTGCTATTGCGCCAGAGTAACAGAGGTGCTGTGACAAAATCTACCTCAAATTACAGATGATAGAACGTCAATGAGAGAACGGTTGACTGGTGCTCGTAGAAGCATGGTATAACCAGGCGCTTTTTTCTACCAACAAACGTATCATCGCACTCTGCCTCATCTTTGGAAATATGCAAAACCGCTTAGCGAACTACGCGTTGCTGTCGGTGCTCAAACTTCCAAACATTTAATCTTTTCGATGAAGCACTTTTTTCAGAAAAACTTTCGCTCCTTTCGCAAAGTGGACGTCAAGTAGGTTAATGTGGTAATCTGTCCAAAAACCTTGTTGCGTATATTATCTATTCATTTATGGATATCAGTGGAAGCGGTCGTTGGAGAGTACACAAAATAATAAAACTGGAATTTACCCCGGTGTGACCATAACTTCAGTTGTCCTGAAAAATTTCGTCAAAGGAACTGGGGTTGGGAAATCCCCATTTGCGTTTATTGCCACATGTGTCGAATTAGTGAGTGAAAACCGCTCTAACAGCTTCACAGAATCACTTCACGTAAGGATCAGTTAAGTTCGAATGTAAACCGCATTGCCGGCAAGCTGGGTTTTGCTTAGTCAGAACCATGCGCCCAATCGGTTGGCCGATCATCATTTAGGAAAATGGACCAATCAAATTGGCTATGGGTCGCAATTTCTATTGGTCGGTCGCTGAGCTATTTTATCGCGCCTTAAACAGACCATTCAGTTGAATGAGCACGTGGATCTTCGCAAATGAACCTAACTGGCTTCGGGTGTGATGTGTTTGAGAAACAGTACATGACTATATCAGGTGCCATCGCCTCATCAGTCACGTTATCTCTATTGGGAATTTTGGGGACATGTGGAAACATCCTCGTAATTGTTGTCTATTGTGTACAGCCACGTTCAACCAACCGGTATATCGTTATAACATCTAATGCTGAAACGCATGCTCTTCCTAACCTTGTAAATCAACAATCATTTTCACCTTTGGACCCAATTAGAAAACGTCAGCGAAATTTCACACAAACCCGCCTGATACTTGTGCTGGCTGTGGTTGATCTACTGACATGTGTAATCGTACTTCCGTGGGATGTGATCAGACCAATTAAATTTATTTTGACTTCCAATCAGACTTCATGGCAAAGCTATGACCAGTGGTTTCTTACTCGAACTCTCATCAATTTCTCACTGGAAGCACCCCTCATGTTACTGCGCAATGTGGCTTTCGCTGGCGAGGGAAGTATTTTGGCTGCAATCGCGGTTGAAAGGTTCCTGGCTCTTGTACCCACTCCAAGAACACCATGTCAGAGAATTAAGAGATCCAGTAGCTCAGCGAGCAACGCAGACCAGGGGAAAATTTTCCGACCAGAAGAAAAAGATGAAGAGGAACAGATCTCTAAAAAGGGACCGAAAATGCGCAACGAGGTCCAACAGAAAAGTTCTTGGCATTCAAATTGTTGTTCACCCTTGTGCCTAGGAGCAAATTGTGTCACAGAGCGGTGCAATCAACAACTATACATCTGGGGTATAATAGTGACTGTATGTTTGTCTGTTTTAATACTGGAACTCATTATCTTCCTCCTACAAGCTCAACAAACTATGTGCAATTTGGCTGGATGGATGCGTGAAATTTCGGATCGAATCTATGTTTTATTGACACTCGTCTCGTGTATCTTCATTTGTTACTTATATCTCTCAGTCTTTCTTGTTGTGCATCAGACAGATTTGCGTAAACATCGATGGAAAAAACGAACTCATCACAATCTGGGCTCAACAGAAGTAGCCAGAACATCTACCGCGTTGAAAACAGCGTGTAAGGGAACATATGACAGTGAGGGGAGGGTATCTGGTCAACAGGGTACTCAATTCCCATCTGAGATATCACAGCGGTGCAAGAATGTGAGCTTTGCCACAACCGAGCAGTCTCACTTTGCAGATGGTGAAAGTCTTTTGGATGAATCGGCTATATCATTTGTGTCACCCGAATCTCAAATAAATTCGAATGCTTTGCCTTCGTTAACGAGTCGTGCAAAATCGGCGTCAAGCTTCCTGCGTAGCCGTCGGACCGGACTGATGTTGTTCACCTCGACGGTTGTCTTCTATGCCACTTTGTTCCCTGTCCTGTGGGTCCACTTCCGATGGTGGTCGGAGGACGAAAAATCGAGCCACAAAAGCGAAGGTTCTATTATAAACCGAGAGAGATATTCAAAAAGTGTCGTACATCACGAATTTTACTACGTAAATAACGCAGTCAATGTGTTCATTTACTCTCTGTTGAGTGGTCGATTTCGTGAACGTGTCAAACTTCTATTCCAAGGGATGTTACACTTTGAACAGGTCAGCCATCAGTCTAAAGATCGCCTTAGTCAATATTCAAAAGAAAACAACTCAAGAGACTCTCAAACTTCATAAACCCAAAATCTTGAAACGGAGCTTCTTCCACTTGGAAAAAGGGTTCCCAGTTTGGATGGAAGAAGAAAACAAGTGCCAAGAAACATGATGCATTCCAGGTAGTCAGTGATTTGGGGAATCATGAATTGTGTTTTGCAAAAAAATATCATTTTTTTCTCCAACCGTATGAGGAGGCTATTTCAAAATAGAAACAATTTGTTATGGTATTGTTGCTTCTGTTATTCACAAATTTGAAAAAATTGACAATCGAGGAATACCCAGTGCCTTCACGTAGTTACGTTTTGCTTTCGAAGTGAGACCCTCCTGTTACTATTTCTAACATTTTATGCTGACTATTAATGATTGAAGGGTTTTGGGTAGATTTATCAGAGGAACAAAGTAAGCACGCGATTCATACATATTCACGCAGTTTTCATCCATCTGCTGATTGACAGAAACAAAGGTATAAAAAACACCGTCGCCACAGTGTAATACAACCGTGGCGATTACTTTTAAAACTTCCTGTTTTTAAAAGAGGGGATTAGGAATGCTAGCCTATGATATTCATCTTGAGAAAATGTATACATACACTTTTATTGGCACAAAATATTTCATTGAAGGAGACACTCAACAGAAAATTTCTCCCCCGTTGGGTTTCAGGTTGGAAAATTTAAGAGATTAGGAATCTTTTTTTCAACACTACTCCATGTCGAAAAGACAGACGTCCGAGAAACAACTCACCTTACTACACCAGACTGGATTACACAAAGGAAATGACCCAGGTTTTTTTAAAATTTGGTTCTCATACAGTGATATGCACTCACCCTTCGTGTCTTGGAATAACTTTGTCAACAATTTAGCATCCCATTCCTCGCTAAATACCATTTTATCTAATGTTTCACAATTGGAATACCGGTTAAAGATAGTACAACCGAAGGATAGGACATAAGTCGGGTAGAAATGTTTAAAAAAAGGGTTGACCACGGCAACTGAAACGCCATATTTTATCAGCTCATTCCACCACGCTGTATTGTGATTTTAAAGTTCCCATGCTAATCACTGTTTTTTTTAATATTGTATCACAGCATATCTTTGTCGTGACTTATTGTTTTTAGTAGTTACATTAGGAGGATCGGTAGATTTCACTAACAAGTAGTTGATGTAGGCCGATACACAGAAATCACACAGAAATATGAGTGAATCAGAAACAAGTGCCAAGCGTCTGGAGCCGCTGGAAGAAGCGAACAAAAGTGCCATTTCTCTAGCACACCGTGAGAGCCATTTCCATCCATCCATCCAGGAAACGTTTTGTGATTAGCTTTACATAAGCCGCTGGAAGAAGCGAACGCAAGTGCGATTGCTCTAGCACACCGTGAGAGCCATTTTTATCCATCCATCCAGGAAACATTTTGTGATTAGTGCTTATTTGACAAAGGAATTACCGCATCTCAGTCTTACAGTAATCCTGGTACGACGGACACACACTGGCCCGTAATTGGTAGCAAGAGCACTTCGTTGAAGTTGATCAGTGGAGATTGTTATATAGGGTGTTATGTTACGTATTTTGTTCAAAATCTGATGTTCGCACGGAAAAAGTACTTTGAACGCACTCTTGAAATGCTCGTCAAAAGGGATCTGACTGATTGGTTCTTCATGTGCCTCAAAACCCGTCCAACCTGCAAATCCACTTCGTTGGTTTGAACCAGTTTTTGTGTCCACAGTGAAACGTTGCCCAGCAATAAATCTGAATGCAGTTAGCCCCATCATTTTTAATCAACTCCAAACTTCTCATTTCTAAGGGTATTAAGATAGACTAGCGAATCAGGAAGCAGCTAGATAATATCCTAGGAAAGTCCGAAAACAAACTGTAGCACAAATGCCTATGATAGACCAGCTGCAAGCCTTTTCGAATCAGCTTTTTGAATGACTTAGCAGAACCCTCACGGAGGAGGTTGGGCCGAACAAGTTTTCTTAAGTGTTCACTATGGCGTTCACTCTGAGGTGGACGCAATCGGGAGAGATTGGTGGATCAGCAAGACTGGCTAGTTTACGAGCCCGGTGGCTCCACCTGTTCAAGGTGAGTCGAATCACTGTACTACTATGCTTGATGCTCATAGGCCACGACTAACGGATCTGTGCTGCTGTACCCATTAAGTTCATTACATCTACTCACTAAAGTGAGTAGTATTGCATGCAGTGACGACTGTGTCATTGAAGTTGGGTTTGGGGCAGGGAATGATGATTACTCAGTTGAAAAGACAGCTTTATCAATTCACATTCCTAGACGCACTGTGTTGTTCATTTTGTTAACGCGGTTACAACCGATGCTTCCAACGTCAGATATCATTCATGTGAACAGTGGTAAAAAGGAGTACGATGATACAGACAACTCAATTCTTTCTGCATATTCTGCGAGACTATTATGACACTTTGTGTCAAGATGTTTTACCGAAACTCACGGACAGGGCCGCGTCAAACAAAATTTGACTATCTACAGAGGTTTCAAGTGTGACAGATGACAAGCTGGAATGGAGTTCCAAGAGGAGCCAATCGACATTCGTTGTCTGGAAATCACGAATGACTTTTAGCACGAATGACTTTTTAGCACGCGCCGCTTTTACATGAATCGGATAACTTCAAGTAACTTATTCTGCTTTGCTTCCGCTTCTAAAATAATTTACTTAGTTGACGGAAATCCGGAACAGGCAGACAACATCGTCCTCACATTCGAAGATGAAGTCTAAACACGAGCTCCGCTGGATAGACCAACTACTATCATACCATTTTCTGGCTTAATTCTTGTTTCCATAAAGTGCAAACTCAGGCTTCAGAACGCGCAGTCTCTGTAGCAGGTTCCTTGTAATTCAAGGAGAAGCACTGAAATTAGTAAGCAATGTTCCATAAATTGGAAGTTATATTCGCTATGGAAGAAGTGTGCCTGATGGATTCGGTGCGCGAATCTTGAAAGCTGAATCAAGTTCATATTAATTCGTGAATAGCAGGTTCTGAGCCTACACTTTGCGACTGACAGTATATTCAGGAGTAGTCTGAGGCATCGGAAATCTAGGCCAAATACTCTTTTGATATAATTACAGGGTCTTCATTTTGTCCTTTCGGAGAGAAATTTTATCTGGCCTGGACTGATTGAACTAACATTTGAAGGCAGTGTGTCTTTAAGTATACGATAACAAGCCATCAAACATGGAAATGAAAAAGAAACCTCATTTGAAGAGTTTTGCGGAGTCAGAATCCTCCACTGTTCCACCGAACTTTCCTTGAGCTATGAACAAGCACCGTAAAAAGTTCAGTCATTTCCAAATCGCCCTTCTAAGAGATGCAGGGATGGTGTTTAGATAATGCCAACACCCTGTTACCCCGTTCTTCAGCAAAATCATTGTTTTTATCCTCGTAGGACAGGTAATTACAACAAATAAACACACGAAGATTTTGGACACACCTTATTCAAAAGGTTACCCAGACCCCGATCAATAGATGCAAATTCTTCTTTCTTGATTGTTGATCATTTGGGTGATTAATCAATCAGCGCACCCTAGCTACCAATATTTCGACACAGTACCAGACATTTCTTCCACTTTCTCACTCTTTACCATCGGACACAGAACTAACGGGTAAAGGTTCATAAACCCCACATGCGAACATTCCGAGATTGGTGTCCTGGGGGAAATTGTTTTTAAAAAAACCCACTCACTTTAACTGTAATATCCAAGCAAAGGTTTTCTGACTGAATGAAAACATTCATGTTGATTGGTCTCTTAAAACGTTTATCCACGGCTCACTGTGATCAAAGGGGGTACAAAACTGTAGAATGTTCCTCATTCTCAGTAGACGCAGTTGGATAATTTCCGGCCGAAAGATGTTTAATCCTTCCGAGGATCTGCATAATAATTTTTCTGACCAAACAACGTGAAAGCACTAAAGGAAAGAAGGTCGATTCGACGAAATTAAAGAAGCATTCCACGGTACCTTCTGGTCGATAGGACGATTTTACTTACCATCCATTTAGTCTCAATACACTTGAACACTGCTCACCACTCGAGGAGCCAGCCAATACGTGACCACGTGATTTTCTTTCTCTGATAGAAAGCTACTCACACCGTTGTTCAACCACTAGCGGCTGAACGGTTAAGGGTCTAGCAACCGCCGGAAGGCCGCGAGTTCGGAAATCTCTGAGTTCAATGAGATGCGCGCTGCTCATTACTCCCAATAAGGGTGAAACAGACGCATAGCGCTTTTGTATAGATTGATATCACGGAATGGACGATATTGCAGTAGACATTTATTGATCCCCGTTTTAGAGCAGCCTTCGGGTCAATAACAATGATGATAATTGCAATAGTAATAGCAATAATAACAATAACGTACGATGGACAATATGTACATCGAGCTAATTGTCATCAGTCGTTGCGGTGTATGCACTAGGTGGTGAGGTATTCGAACGACATAATGCTTTGTGCTTCTCGCTTAATCCCATTCTAGTTTCTGTTCTGTCACGTGAAGGTTTAGGACTGGCCAGATTGACCGACTGACCTTGCATAAAGTGGATTAACACATTGTGAGAAAGATGTTAATAAAATATGACCATGTTGTCGTTCCTAAATAGAGCTCGATAAACGTCAGTTAAATTAGCACTCCCAAACCCACAGAAAGGCAAATCGAGGTGAGAAGATCGCAAGGCTAAACGGCCGAAGTGACGGGAAAATCCTTATCAGCGACAGTTCCCATAACGTCCGTACGTTTGTCACACCCGTCTTTCACTGTTCCATTTTATACCATAATCTCGGTTTAAATTTTGAGGGTGATTCCCGGGGATTCTGTTACGAGCTGACCACAACCTATTCGGCCCTATCCTACGGAAGCAACCAGATGCAGAAAACATTGGTGCCCGCACGACTTTATCACGGAACTTTTGATGAAGTAGGTGCACTTCTCAATGACTGTGGTACCCAATTTGAGCACTGCTGGGGTCGAACCCACTGCTCTGCCAACTGCGACTCACCGGA